CCATGCAGACACGGGGAGAGCATGCAAACTCCACACAGGCAGTCATCCGAGGCTGGAATCAAACCTGGGTTCCTGGTGAGGCAGCAGTGCTAACCACTGAGTCACCATGCCGCCCACAAACTGCATCTGGATAGGTATATGAATAGGAAGGGTTTAGAGGAAATTGGGCCAAATGCTGGCAAGTGGGACTATGTCAGATTGGGGAATGACTGGTTGGTATGGATGAGTTAGATTGACAGGTCTGTTTCTGCATTGCATGAATCTATGACTATTTGTTGAAACTTATAGTGAAGTGAAATGCATAACACTGTTGATCAGCAGAGGGAGCCGTTTTACTGCAAAGAGAACTGGCAAAATAACCTGAGATAGCAAGATGTCGAGCTGGATGAACACAGCAGGCCAAGCAGCATCAGAGGAGCAGGAAAGCTGACGTTTCGGGCCTAGACCCTTCTTCAGACCCTTCTCTGGCAAACTAACCTGACTGAAAACATCCAGCCGTTAATAACCTTAACTTGTGCATGCGGTGCCTCTGAGAAGCAAAGACTGGTAGTGCTGTCATATACCTGTTGATGCTGTTGTTTATAATTTTATCTAGTATTTCTCTGTTCTACTTTTATCTCTAATTTAGCTGAATGTATAAAAGTTGAGTATTTTCAGACGCACTTAAAGTAAGATGGAAATAAAGTGTAAAGCAGCCACTGTATATTAGAAATGATGTTAGCAGTCTGCGAAATGATCCATGTCTGAAACCTGGAGTCCACTTCTGGCACATTTTCCCAGCATTGATGTTGCTTAACCAGGTGTACTTCCAGAATTCACAAGTGTGTCAATCTAGAATCTCCAACACCAACTCATTTTGATTTTAAACCCTGCATAAAGTGTTGCTTTTTTTTTTGCTGCCACAAATGACTGTAACCAGCTGGAGTTGTGCTATTTGCCTTTTCCTTTAACTGCTTTTTGTTTTGACACACACACACACACCACCAATATCAACTTACGTTCAGTTTGTGACTTCAATATTAAAAAAAATTCCAAGGTGCTTTGAAGAAATATTGGCAGCCAAAGAAGGAGATGTGATGAGGAATGAGTAAAAGCTTAATTGCAGAGATAGATCTTAAAGGAGAAAGGAAGATGGAGAGGCAGAGAGAAAATTCCACTTTTGGACTTCAGACTGAAGGCGTAAGCACCAATGGTGCATAAAACTCAGTAGATACACAAGGGACCAGAAGTTGGATGAATGGAGACTTTTTGGGAGACGGGTTTGAGGGATTTGAACAGAGTACAAAGATGGCTTGGGTCTGAAGCTCATGCTTGCAAGCCCCAGAAAGGTATGCCAACCATTAAATGTGATCCTGATTTTAGACATAATTTATTTCGTAATCCAGTTGTGCTCAGAGCTAGAGCAGAAACTAATTAAAGGTTGGACTTGCAGTGTGATGCATTTGCACTTGCTAGAAGCTGCCTATAGTAATATACAGAACCCTGTTAAATGTAGGCAAAATAAATTAGTACATGCCTTGCCTCTTTTAGGGCTCCTGGAGACTGCCCATTCTGTTGTATTCCCATTGCAACGCTTTGACCAATCAAAAACAAAGTTGCTGGAAAAGCTCAGCAGGTCTGGCAGCATCTGTGAAGAAAAAAAAAATCAGAGTTAATGTTTTTGGTCCGGTATCTCTTGCTCACGAGGAAGGGTCACCAGACCCGAAACGTTACCTCTGATTTTTTTGTTCACAGATGCTGCCAGACCTGCTGAGCTTTTCCAGCAACTTCTGTTTTTGTTCCTGATTTACAGCATTTGTAGTTCTTTCGGTTTTTACTCTGACCAAGCAAATCTTCTTGCCAGATCTAATAATAAGATTGACGGTTAACTGCTCTTGTGGAATCTTCATGCCAGTGATAGTTCAACCAATCACAACCCTCTTCTCATACTCTATGACTTGGTGTCCCTTTTATTAAATCTGTTTCTTGTGCTTAGTGTTGATGAGTATAAGCTGTGACTTGTCTCATTTTTAGCAACATTTGAGGAATGAAGCCTTGTAGAACTCAGTGCGTGTATCCTATCCTGCATCACCACCCAACATTTTTTGAACTTGATGGTTCTTTGGACCCCTTCCAATTTAAAATTTGCATCCTTGGGGTCTTGTAGGAATGAATTACTTGGAACTGACCAAATGTCCTCTAATTGCCCCATCTCTGACATTACGATAGAGAGATCATTGAATCAGCTGTAGATATTTGGACCTTACATAGTTGATAGAATAATCAACTTTTGTTCAGCAATGGCTAGATTTTTGATTTAACAGCTGTGGGTGATGTTTTGTTTGGCAAATCTTTCTCGAAATCTCTGTTACTCCTCAAGGAATTCTCCATGTTTCTTCACCTAATCAGAAATCAAAATATTTTTTTCTTCCCAAAGCCTCTTTTCAGACATTCTTGAAGGCGACATTTTGTATTCAGAGGCTCCTTTTTCATTTTAAGTCCGTTATTCGATTATGCATCATGTATAATTACCTTCCATATTTGGATTTTTTGGACTTACTTCTTTAGAAAGATAAAAGCACAAATACCAAAGATTATATACACGTATAGATTCCAAGTTAAAAGATTTAATTATAAGATGAGATGCTCTAATTAATTTACGATAAACAAATCTCCAAAACTCTTTGTTTCTATATTTGTGTCATACACATATTGTAATCAGCAGGTCTTTCTTCATTGTACTCAAAATGTACTCTGTTCCAGGACAGTCAGTTGATCTTTTTCAGAAACTTCAACAAGGATCAGAAAATCCCTTAGTTTGGGGTCAGCAGTATTTTACTTGAACTATTTGACATTGTTGAGGTATTGTTCAGCCAGTTCCTTTGATGGTTCAATAATGACTGTTTTTGAAGCATTTAGTTTGAAACTCTGTAGTTGTGACTGTACAAGGTGACCATTAATAGCTCTGTCAAGTGCTTTTAGGCCATCATTTGAAACGTTTGAATTCTTCTTTAGCCAAATTAAATTTAAGCTCAGCATTCTTTAAACACAGGAGACATGGAAAGGTTGTTTCTCTATATGTCAATGAGTATCAAAGGCACGCCTCAGGTGTCTCCTATTTTCTGGTAAACTTTATGGTTATTTTATCAAGAAGGATGAGACCTTACCATCATTTCAGTTAATGGGGAAAATTACTAGAATGAAAATTAAAAATACTGGCAGAATTCAATCTAGGGTTCTGTCCAGTACACCCCAAAGAGGTAGGGAGTGGAGGGTGTTTTGGGGTCAGGGCAATGCAATCTGGAGCCACTGTGACTGATTGCCTTATTTATACAATAATATTTTTAAAAGCAGTTTTCGATGATTCATCACCTGTCCCCCTCTGTGCTTTGACTTGCCCAAACACTCAAGGGAAAACAGTGGCATAGTGATAATGTCACTGGGCTAGTAATCTAGAAACCCAGGCTAATTATCTGGAGACATGAGTTTTGAATCCTGCCCTGGCTGGTGGTATAATTTTAATTCAATAAAAATTTTTTGGCCTAATGGCAACCAATATTGACTCTTATTAAAAACCAACCTGGTTCACTATTGTCCTTTAGGGAAGGAAATCTGCTATTCTTACCTGGTCTGGCCTAACTGTATCTCCAGATTCACAATAACCGTCTCCTGAAGTGGCCCAAGTAAACCACTCAGATCAAGGGGCAAATAGGGATGGGCAAGAAATGTTGGCATGGCATTAGATGCACACATCCAATGAATTAAGAGAAAAATTCAGCTCTGAAGCATGTTTATGTGCGTGCATGGTAGTCATACCACCTAGTTGTGGCAACAAAGCCTTTTCAATTGACATCAAATGCACGTACACAATGGACAACTTGAATTAAAAACCAAAAGAACTGCGGATGCTGTAAATCAGGAACAAAAACAAAGTTGCTGGAAAAGCTCAGCAGGTCTGGCAGCATCTGTGGAGGAGAAAACAGAGTTAACGTTTCGGGTCCGGTGACCCTTCCTCAGAACATGGACTCAGAACTTAGTTCTAAGGAAGGGTCACCGGACCCAAAACGTTAACTCTGTTTTCTCCTCCACAGATGCTGCCAGACCTGCTGAGCTTTTCCAGCAACTTTGTTTTTGCGCAACTTGAATTCATGCATGTGTGTTTACCAAAACTGGAAATATGTAAATTTAAACAGGTTTGGCTTTAAACTTGGTGCGGCTGTAGAGGATGTGGCTGTGAAGGGGGTTGAGGTGGTGCACTTGTGGGTACGGCTGTGTACGGTTTATGGAAGTGGCAGTGAATTGGGGTGTGGTAGAGCATCTTGGTCCTGGGTTCCCCAATCACTGTTTGCTGTCACTGCCTGCCCTCGCTCCTCCTGCCTCTCTTCCTCATGTTTCCTCACCATACCTACCCCCTCCCCCTTCCCCATCCTCACTCCCCTTGCTAAACCCTGGGTCAATAACACCCTTTTCTGCACACATGCAAATCTTTTGCATATGATGTCATCAGAGTTGTATGTGATGACATAGCATTTCTGGAATTGTGCACATATCCGCTGGGTATCTGCAGGTACTCAGTTTTCTGAAAACTGTGTAACATTGTTATCTCACAATGAAAAGCCACCATATTAATAGTTCAAGTTCCATTTATAAATATGCACTATTGAGATATCACAAATTTAAAGCATGATGAGTGTAGATTTGCAGATGTTTTCTGTTATGAGCTTGAATTGAGATTGCAGACCTGGTTAGGATTTAAATGGTATTTTATAATTTGGATTGTATGAATGCATACAGAGTTGGTGATTGAGTGAGTCATTTAGGGTGAGGTACAGAAGCAATGGTTTACAAGACTTCAACACTGCTCTCCCTCCATCACTGTGATCTACTTGAATTGTACAATTTCTCTCTGCCATAGTTTGTAAGCCTCTGAAGTATCTGCTCTGTTTCCTCCATATGAGGAGTATATGTTTTTTTGTATCCTTGACATTTATTATAATTGAATGATTTTGTTCTTCTTTCAGAGGTACAGAACAACTCCACCTGGCTGTTTTGCATCCAAGAAAGTTGTCTGTCTACGCTTTCTCAGGTATTGGGTACTGTTTTGTGTTTTACTGTGCAAGAGATGTCTATCACTACTCTTATTTTCCCTGAGTTTTCATGTATTCGCACTTCTATTAAATTTGACTGTGTCCATTATAGATCTGTTTGTTATAATTCTAATCAACCTGGTCAGATATGTTATGACTCACATTTGGGACAAGTGTGGCTTGAATCAAAGTCTCCTGGCTGAAAGATATGGATGCTACCACTATGCCATATAGTGGTGGGATTAACATTAGCACCTTATGAAATGATGAAGTATCGTAATGTTATGATGATGTCAGTGATGTTATCTTAAAATACATAAAGGTGGATAAATCCCCAAGACCTGATCAGATGTACCATAGAGCTCTGTGGGAAGCTAGGGAAGAGATTGCTGAGCGCCTTGCTGAGATATTTGTATCATTGATAGCTGCATGTGAGGTGCTGGAAGACTGGAGATTGGCTAATTTGGTGCCACTATTTAAGAAAGGTGGTAAAGAAAAGCCAGGGAACTATAGACTGGTGAGCCTGACATTGGTGGTGGGCAAGTTGTTGGAGGGAATCCTGAGGGACAGAATTTACATGGATTTGGAAAGGCAAGGACTAATTAGGGATAGTCAACATGGGCTTTGTGCAAGGGAAATCGTGTCTCACGAACTTGATTTTGAAGATGTAACAAAGAGGATTGATGAAGGCAGAGTGGTGCATGTCATATATATGGACTTCAGTAAGGCATTTGACAAGGTTCTTCATGGTAGACCAGTTAGCAAAGTTAAATCACACGGAATATAGGGACAACTAGCTACTTGGATACAGAACTGGCTCGAAGGTGGAAGACAGAGGATGGTGGTGGAGGGTTGCTTTTCAGACTGGAGGTCTGTGACCAGTGGTGTGTCACAAGGAACATTGCTGTGTCCACTGCTTTTTGTCATTTACATAAATGATTTAGATGTGAATGTAGGAGGTATGGTTAGTAAGTTTGCAGATGACACCAAAATTGGAGGTGTAGAGGATAGCAAAGAAGGTTACCTCAGAGTACAACGGGATCTTGATCAGATGGGCCAATGGGGAGAGAAGTGGCAGATGGAGCTTAATTTGGAAAGGCAGAACAGGGCAGGACTTATACGCTGAATGGTAAGGTCTTGGGGAGTGTTGCTGAACAAAGAGACCTTAGAGTGCAGGTTGATAGTTCCTTGAAAGTGGCGTCATAGGTAGATAGGATAGTGAAGAAGGCATTTGGTATGCTTGCCTTTGGTCAGTGGATTGAATACAAGAGTTGGGAGGTCATGTTGTGGCTGTACTGGACATTTGTTAGGCCACTATTGGAATACTGCTTGCAATTCTGTTCTCCCTGCTGTAGGAATGATGTTGTGAAACTTGAAAGAGTCAGAAAATATTTACAAAGATGTTGCCAGGGTTGGAGGATTTAAGCTGTAGGGAAAGGCTAAATAGACTGGGGCTATTTTCCTTGGAGTGTCAGAGACTGAGAGGTGAACATATAAAGATTTATAAAATGATGAGGGGCATGCTTAGGTTAAATAGACAAGGGTATTTTCCCCAGGGTGGGGGAGTCCAAAACTAGAGGGCATAGGTTTAAGGTGAGAGGGGAAAGATTTAGAAGGGATCTAAGGGGCAATTTTTTCACGCAGAAGGTGGTGCATATATGGAGCAAGTAGATTCTAGACACCCGCAGCCCAACAAATGTCCTTCTTGGCTAAGTTATTGTGCCCAGATTTGCTCACAGTACTCCAAGTAGGGTCTGACCAGGATTTTCTATAGCTGCAGCATAAATTCTGCATCCATTTACTCCACTCACTAATACCTACCCTGTTAACCCCACAAGGATATTGTATATTTGACTGAGATTACCCCTTATACTTCTAAACTGCAATGAATGTAGGCCCCATCTATTCATAAAACAATCCCTCCATCTCAGGAATTAAATTGTGTTTGTTGTATTCTCTCTATGGTTAGTAAATATTTCCTTCAGTAAGGATATCAGAACGGCACAGAGTACTCTCGGTATGCCTCACCAAGGATCTATAAACGTGTAACAAGACATCTTTACTCTTGTCCTCAAATCCTCTTCCAGTAAAGAACAAATACCATTTGGTGCAGGGCTGGATGAACACAGCAGGCCAAGCAGCATCATAGGAGCAGAGAGGCTGACGTTTCGGGCCTAGACCCTTCATCAGAAAAGCTATTTGCCTTTTTAATTCTTGCTGTATCCACATGCTAACTTTCAATGAGTCATGGTCAAGGAAACTCAAGTTCCTTTTGAAGTTTAGCATTGCCAGCCTTTGTCCATTTAAGAAATATACTGTATTTCTGTTTTTCTACCAAAGGGATATGTTATCATTTCTCTACATTGTATCCCATCTGTCAATTTTTGTCCAATCGTTTGATATCTCCAAATCCTAGTTCATTTGCACTCTTCTGACAACTCATATTCAAGGCTAGTTATGTGTCATGTTTCCTCAACATTTGGTGTCCAGAGGATAAATGTGATCAGAAAATCAAAAGTATGATGAAGGTGTGCAATAATTTTTCTGTTGCATCTTTATGCCCATGAAACATGCGGCTGTGTAGGTATTACATTAAATACCTTGCAGATGTTCACTCTGTTATCAGACGAGCAGGTGGCAATGCAATATTTCAAAGTCCTGACTGTTGCAGATTAGATAAAATCATGCAGCATGTGTTGAGAGTGGTCAGCAGGCTATCTTGGCTGAAAGAGGGCAGAAGCTTTCTCGAAGGATAATTCACATGTTTTCAAGGACTTTGAAAACCTTGGACCAGGTCAGTGGCAAATGATGAACATTAGGCTCATCCCACTTTGAGAAACTGTGTGTTGAGTAGCACAGAAGGAAAGAAAAGTAAGGAAAGATAAAACCAGGCTGTAACAATAGTCTGAAATAACTTACACTGAGTGTGATGAAACTTGTCTCTTGCAAATAGGTTTAGTATGCAATGTAAGAGCCCATGAGAAGAGGCACACTGATCCGAAACCTCAATTCCTGCTATGATCATGATGTCATTGTTAGTCAAATGATGACCCAATTACTACATTGGTGCAAATAGTGGAAATAACACCTCGGCATGTTGAGATTGCTGGTGTGATTTGACTTGAACCTGTTTTTTTAGCATGTGCACAGGCCAATGGCTGGTTACATAAAGCTTTCCTTTTGGCTCCTAATTGTAATTTGTTTCGGTTACAGGAACTATGGGTACCGTAGAGCATGGAAACCAGTACCAGCTGAAACTAATGTATGAGCACAATTTTCAACGTACAGCTTGTAACTTAACATTTGGAGGTTTTGGTGGTGTGAAAGGTGAGAATCCAACCTAAAGTATTTTCAATGTTTTGAAAGTATAGGTAGCTGTGAAAGTTGCACAGTGATCAATGAAGTGAAAACTGAGTATTGTCTGTAACAGGCAGCTGATCCCCAATTTCAGAATTATGCCATGGATGACAGTTGAAAAATATTCCCCTAAAGGCCCATAGCACACAAAATGAGTGTTTATTTTCACATACCATTTCAGTGAAAGTCCAGTCTTTGATAACATGGAAGAAAATGCTGTCTTAAAATAACTCTGCAGGAAATCTAGTTTTGTCAAAGTGGTACATTCTTCAGCTTCTCCTGAGGAGTTGGTAAGTTTATAGGATGAATCATGAACATTCATATTACTTTTGATGGTAACTTTTAAATATGTAATTTAGTCATTAAAATGAACAGTGGAAGGTCTATTTGCTGTTTCTTCCAGAGTTGGCTACAGAACTTGTAATGATGTCTCTTTCTTGTTCAGGAACATAATTATAATGCAACCTACAAAAATTACCATTCCTTTCTTTTTTACTGTAGGCCAGATAGCTGTTAATACGTTTTCCTTAATGTAGCAGAAGAAACACAGACAGCAATATAAGAATTCAATGTTTTTGATTTTTCTTTCATTCATATGTGGGACATGGACACTGCAAGCTAGGCTAGCATTTATTCCCATCCCAAGTTGCCCTGGAGAAGTTGGTGGTGAGCTGTATTCTTGAACTGCTGTAGGGACAGATTTGTCACAGATTTCCTCGCCTCTGACTTATTCTTGTTACAACAGTATTTATATTGCTGGCTAGTTTTGTTTCAGGTTTATCCTAAGATATTCATAGTAGTGACACTAAACGTCAGAGACTGATGATTAGATTTGCTGTTGTTGGAGATGGCCATTGCTTAATACTTATGTGACGTGGATTTACTTGCCACTTATCAGCTCAAGCCTGGATGCTGCCCAAGTCTTTCTGCACGTGGATACTGCTTCGGTATCTGAGGTGTTATGTAGGATGTTGAACTTTGCACAATTGTCAGTGAACATCTGCACTTCTAGCCTTATGATGGAGCCTGGGACACTAGCCTGAGGAACTCTTGTAGAGATATCCTGGAGTACAGATGATGGATATCCAACAACCACAACAATTTTCCTTGTGTTAAGTATGACTCCAACCAGTGAAGACTATTGCCTCTGATTCCTATTGATTCTAATTTTAGTAGAGGCCCTTCATGCCATACTTGGTCAAATGCTGCATTGATGTTAATCAATGTCACCTCATCTCTGCAATTCAACTGTTTTGTACACTTTTGGACCAAGATTATTTGAGGTTGGAACCTAAACCAAGTGTCAGTAAGGAGGTTGTTTCATTGAAACTGCTGTCTAATAGCACTGTCAATGATCTCTTCCATCACTTGTGTTCAAGAGTAGACTGATAGGACAGTTATTATAGGACTGGGTTGGATCTGTGCACAGGATATACATGGAGAGCAGGGAGTTTTCTCAGTAGTTCCCAGTGTTCACTTTGTATCATTTCTTGAAGACAGTGGCAATAGCAGCATTTCTAAGATTGGCAGGGATTTCTTCTTTGCCCCAGATTTTCAGGAACGATTGATGGAGATGATGAGTAAGCTCTGCTCCTCCAAGTTTGAAATCTCTGCTGGATTCCCATCTATTCCTACGCCTTTTTCAGTCTTCATATGTTTAACGGTGGCTTCAACCTCTGCCACACCATATGGCAGTCCAAGATCATCTTTGGTGGGGATTTGGGGGATGTCCTCAAATAGATCTTTGTTGATGATTTGTATCATGGTTTAGGAGTTCTTTGAGGTGTGCTCTCCATTGGAGGGTGAAGTTTTCTCTGTCTCTCAGGAGGGTTCTGTCCTTACTCTGCACTGGTTTGAGGCCAAAGGTGTTGGGTCTGTATATTACCTTGGTGGCACTAAAGAAACTCTGGATGTCATGATTGTCAACAAGGCATTGCAGCTCTTTAGCTTTCTCAGCCTATCATTTGCTCCTTGATTTCCCTCATTTAACTGTGTATCTCCGCCTTTGCTGTTTGATAAGTTCTCCACTTTGTCTTGCTGGTGTTGTTGTTTTTCCCAGCATGGAGAGCTTTCCTCTTCTTGTAGACGTAATCATTCTCATCGAACCAGTGTTGGTGTTCCCTGGGCTTGTAGACAATGGTTTTCTCGCAACATGAGACAATGACTGTCTTCACAGTCATTCTTTCCAGAATTCCTCAATTCTATTAAACTTTTTGGAGACTTTGAATGAAGTCATTGTTGGAGGTTCTCTCGGGTGGTTGGCTCATGAAGATGCTCAACGTTGAGCTTTTCTCTGAACTGCTCCTTTGTCTTCAGCTGCTTCTCGTGGCATTTGATGGACATGCAGGAGTGGATGAGCTGGTGCCCTGTCCAGCAGTCGTCTACACTGGTCATCACATTGGTAATGAAGACATACTTTTGGTCTCTAGATCAAATAATGACGTGATCAGTCATGTGCCAGTGCTTTGATCGTGGATGCCTCCAAGAAGTCTTGAACCTGTCGTTTTGGCTGAACAATGTGTTGTATTTGAAGGTATACATTGATTTTGAAATATTGCTTTAACACAGTTACCAGTGAGATTTGGTCATTGTTGATTACCAGATGTAGTATAAGGAATTATTTAGAATGCATTATACCTTTCAGACAGCACAAGATTTATTTTTCATGTTTCTCAGAAAACACTTCGTCCAATATTGTACCGATCTGATGTACATCATAAGGAGATTCCCCAGCAGTAATGATAGGGCTTCGTGGCTTCAAAACATTGCACAGACATGAGCGACTCAAAGTCATGATAAACAAAATGGTTGATACTGGGGAGTCATTACCTAGCTGCTTATACAAAGTCAGCAGGATTATCTGATGTCTTTCTGTTGTTGTTGTTGTTGTACACACCTTGGGTGCTTTTACGACCAAGCATGAATTGAAAAGCATATCATAAACAGTTAAAATCTCATGAAGAAACAAATTATTCCATGGAGGATTGGCCTTTTTGATAACTGGATATGTTCTTATTAAAAGAAAACATAATAAAAATGCATCAGAGATAGTAGGAACTGCAGATGCTGGAGAATCTGAGGTAACAAGGTGTAGAGCTGGATGAACACAGCAGGCCAAGCAGCATCATAGGAGCAGGTAT